CTTCTGGAAGTCCAAGTAAACAGCATACACTGGCTCCTCCTTGTCAACTCTATTAGTTACATTCTCAAAACATTCCATGGATTTGTCAAGCATGTTTCTCTTTTTGTAAATCATGCTGATTCTTTTCACTCCCATTTTCTAAGTGTTTTGCTATAATATCTTTTATAATAGAGTCTAGCATTATCAGGCTAACAGGTCAATAACTCAGTTATCTCTCTACCACCTTTTTTATTAGCCCCTCCAACCTGTAGGAACTGTTCCAGAGCCTTGAACGATAACCTCCATTGCAAGGAACAAATGCCAGTTTTTATCAACCTGTATTTTTGCTGGTTGGGCACCCCAGAACTGGTTGACATAGCCTAAAAGAATCAGAATTATACTTCCCAGCAATGAAACTAGGAAACACTTCAGCATACAAAGGGTGTATTTTTAACCAACCTGTTCGGACTTGCAATGACATACTTCCACAGTAGGTGGGACTTGAACCCGGACCTTTCGATCCAGAGGTAGGGAGTCTCACACTTCACCTCAGGAGCCCCACTTGGAACGTTCTTTCCCGAATGTGCTAGACCACATGCTAAACTGTAAATCCAATATCAATAGGAGTTTGCAATTGAAGCACATTAAGGAATGTGGGGCAAAGGCAAAGTATACGAGATCTTGGAACAAGTTCAAGGGGTTAAATTGTCTTTAAGATTCGATGTTTCTATTCAATTAACATTTATGACAGTCTCCAGTGCAACCTTCAAATGTCCCGTATCCTATCAGAAGAAATGTTCAATTTCTGAAATCTAAGCAAGCCTTACATCTTGGAGATCACTTGTGAAATACTAAATAGAAAGGTTGAAAGGCAAACATTTCTTGACCACCTAAATCAAAATAAAAGTCACTGATTTAAACCTACTTCACACAGCTAAACACCAAAATAGTAAAACATTGAAAAGTAGATTGAGGACAGCATATTTAGTTAAATATCCACTGGATCAATAAATAATGAGGAAAGCATGGGCTGAAAAACGAACCCATAAGGCTGAGGCCATATTTCAGATAAGCATACTGGCTGTTTTTGGGTTTAAAAAAAAGCTAAATTTCTCCCAGTTGTATTTTCAATGGCATGTTCAAATTCTCTTACATTCTACAAATATATTCGAAACCCAAAGTAGTTTAAATATTTTGCTTAATTTTTAAAAATCTCCTTAAGTGTTTTAGATATCTTGCAATCCGTTCACAGATGTTGCAGCAGGTGGGACTTGAACCCAGACCTCCTGATTCGGAGGTTAGGGCAGTATCACTGTACCACAAGGGCCCTGCTTTAGTGTTTTATTTAATCTGGAAGTGTTCTCACACAACCAAATCTCTTTCCCAACACCAAATCACTGACTTGTTTTAAACCATCAACCACCACAAGTAATCACCTGTACAGCCAGTTAAAAATTTACATGCAAAGTCAATAGCAATAAGGACCAATCGAAAGTAGCGGGGAGGGGTGAGCAGGAAGTGGCTAAATCAAAATGGAGTTGGATGGGGAAATAAAGCACTCTATTCCCAGCAGCACTTAAGTGTTTTACTTTTTTAATATCCAGAAATGCTGTCATGCACAACTGAGCAACTTTCCCATGACCAAATCATCGTGACTTTTAGATTTAAAAAAAAAATTATCACCAGTAATCACCCACATAGCCAATCAAATGTCTACAGGAAAAGTCCAATATGGCCAATGCAAGCCAAAAGTGAGGGGAGTTGTGGTTTAAGGAGAGCTACAAGGGACTAAAATCAAAAGCGTGTACAAGAAAATCGTATTTGATATGTAGATTCATCTTCTAGAAAAAAGAAGCAAAACTCGACCTTCTGTTGGGAAATAAGGCAGGCTAAATGACTGAGATGCCAGTGGGGGGCAGCACTTTGGGGATCAGCAATCATAAGTCTGTTAGTTTTTAAAATAGTTACAGAAAAGGATAGATCTGATCTAAAGTTGAAAGTTCTAAATTGGAGGAAGACCAATTTTCACAGTATTAGGTAAGAACTTTCAAGAGTTGATTGGGAGCAGATATTTGCAGGTAAAGGGATGGCTAGAGAATGGGAGGCCCTCAAAAATGAGCTAACGAGAGTCCAGAGACAGTGTGTTCTTGGTAGTGTGAAGGGCAAGCTGGTAGGTGTAGGGAATGCTGGCTGACTAGAGAAATTGAGGTTCAGACAGCAGAGATTGAGTGAATCCCTTGAGGAGTATAAAGGCAGGAGTACATTCATGAGAAAAAAATCAGGAGGGCAAGAATGGACATGACATACCTTTGGCAGATAGGGTTAAAGAGAATCAAAGGGATTCTTCAAATAAATTAAGGACATAAGGCTAACTAGAGAAAGAATAGGGCCCCTTAAGATCAGCAAAGCTGCCTATGTGAGGAACTGCAAAGATGGGGGGAAAAACTAAACTAGTATTTTGCATTAATGTTGACTGTGGATAAGGAAGCTAGAGAACTTCAGTAAATAAATAGCAATATCTTGAAAAGTGTCCATATTATAGAGGTGGTGATGCTGGACATCTTAAAATGCACAAAGGTGGATAAATCCCTGGCACCTGATCAGGTGTACCCCAGAGCTTTGTGGGAAGCTAGAGAAGTGATGGCAGGCCTCTTGCTGAGATATTTGTATCTATAGCCACGGGGGAGGAGCCGGAAGACTGGGGGTGTACTAAGGTGGTGCCATTATTTAGGAAAGGTGATAAGGAAAAGCAGGGAACTGTAGATCAGTGAGCCTGACATTGGTGGTGGGCAAGTTGTTGGAGGGGATCCTGAGGGACAGGATTTACATGTATTTGGAAAAGCAAAAACTGATTAGGGATAGTCAGCATGGCTTTGTGCGCGGGATATCACGCCTCATTAACTTGATTAAGTTTTTTGAAGTAGTGACCAAGAAGATTGATGAAGGCAGAGCAGTGGAAGTTGTCTAAATGGATGTCAGCAAGATGTTTGATAAGGACCCACCTGGTAGACTTTGTTAGCAAGGTTAGATGACATGAAATACAGCGGGAACTGCCAAGTTGGATACAAAATTGGCTCAAAGATAGACAGAGGGTGTTGGCAGAGGGTTGCTATTCAGACTGGAGGCCTACAACCCGCAGTGTGCTGCAAGGATCTGTGCTGGGTCCACAGTTCTTTGTCATTTATATAAATTATTTTGATGTGAAGATATATCAAGTATGGTTAGTCAGTTTGCACATACCAACAAAATTGGAGAAGTAGTAGACAACAAAGAAGGATACCTCAGAGTACAACGGGACCTTGATCATACGGGCAGATCAGCTGAGGGGCAGCTGGAGTTTAATTTAGATAAACGTGTGCTGCCGCATTTTGGTAGGGAAAAAAATCAGGGCAGGATTTACACATTAATAGTAAAGTCCTGTGGAGTGTTGTTGAACAAAGTGACCTTGGGGCATAGGCTCATAGGTCCTTAAGAGTGGAGTCGCAGGCAGACAGGGTAGTGAAGGTTGTGCTTGGTACACTTGCCTTTATTGGTCAGTGTATTGAGTATTGGAGTTAGGTCATGTTGAGGCTGTACAGGACACATTTTTGGAATACTGCATTCAATTATGATCTCCCAACGACAGAAAAGATGTTGTTAAACGTGAAAGGATTCAGAAAAGATTTACAAGGGTGTTGCCAGGGTTAGAGGGTTTCAATTATAGGGAGAGGCTGAATAAGCAGGGGCTTTTCCCTGGAGCATCAGAGGCTGAGGGATGACCTTATAGAGGTTTATAAAATCACGAAGGGACACGAATAGGGTGAATACTTAAGCTCTTTTCCCTACAGTAGGAGTCCAAAACCAGTGGGGGTAGGTTTAAGGGGAGAGGGGGAAAAGATTTAAAAGGGACCCAAGGGGCTACTTTTTCAGACAGAGGGTGGTGCGTGTATGAAATAAGTTGCCAGATGACATTTAAAAGGCATCTGGATGGGTATATGAATAGCAAGGGTGGAAGGGTAAATGGACCAAATGGTGGTAAATGGGATTAGATTAATTTAGAATATCTGGTTGGCACGGACAAGTTGAACTGAAGGATCTGTTCCCGTGCTGTATGACTCTCTGACATCTGGAGCAGGTGTGACTTGAGCCCAGACCTTCCAGTCCAGGGGTAGGGATAGACAAGCGTCACAAGATGGCCCAGTGTATTTTTTTGAAAAGCGGATTCACTTACCCCTATAACCTCCATTTAACTGGAGTTAACCAAACATACTAGCATGAATTCAAATGAATAGTGATGACTATGGCTCGATTCTGGCAACAGCAGTCAACTTTTCTGTTTTAGTGCCAATACTGGTGAATTGATGTAAACATCCTAGGAAATTATGAGTGTGAATAGATCTAACTTGCATCATTTATAGTTACCTACTTCCACTAGTAAAACAAACTTAGCAGTATTGGTATGCCAGTCTCCAGGAATTTGAGCCAATTTTAGTTTCTGCTACTCAAATCACCGGAGATGAAGAATCTTAAATAACAATCTTAAAAACAAAACGAATGGAATAGAACAAAAGATCAATACAACTGTAGAAGCAAATCATATGCTACCTATTATTTACTGCAATAATACCTATAGGGGCTAAAACTGATTTTTTTTTTTTAAAATGAAGGTTAATCATAGTCATAGTCAATTTGTGGCATTAAACCCTGTGGCACTAGACTGTTAGAAATTAATAATCCACTTAGATTTTCTTCTAAAGCAATAAAATCACAAGTCAGCTTCAAAACAGTTAAAATATATTAAAAGATTTAAAAGTATGGATGAAATTCTGATGCATGCAGCATTTGCACCAATAAATTAACATACCCCTGAACTAGATCGCTACTTCCAAGTCTAAAGTAAAAATGTAAGGATCGCACCCTATAAATTTCATGTAAGATTTTAAAAGCTAACTAATAATAAAACAACAGCTTTTTTTTTAAAAAAGAAAAGTTTAAGACCAAATCAATTCATTATGTTCGCAAATATGTTTTGAGTTCATTACCTGGTGGATGACATATATTGCATACTGAAGCTGTTGGCGCTGCAAGAATGGATGAAGGTAATAGAGAAGATGACGCAGATGTGGCTCCCTGTTGCGATGAGGAACAAGGATTGCTGTTTTATATTGAGCTTTGCAGTGTGGGGGAGAGTACCGTCCACCAGCTTGAACATATGGATTTTTTCTTGCAATTTTGCTCATAACTGGAATTTTCTGAAAGCTGATAGTCAGTGGTCCAACTGTAAATGTTGACAGCAGATCAGTCTAATGCACATGCTTAAAGTAACAGATATGAAACATCTTCAATTACTGCATAGTTGAGCAACTATTCTCCTTTCATTCAAAACAACAGTAGAAGAAAATTTGAGGTCCAAAGCCTAGAAAATAGCTTGTCTGAATTTCCTCAAGAAATTTCAGGACAATGCTTTTATGCATAAGCTGCAACTTGATTTTCTGGGCAGCTATTTTCTGTCTACACGTGCTATTTTCACTAAGGAAACTGGAGCAGAAGAGTACTGTAATTCTATACTAAACAAAATCTTGTAATATATTGCAGTCAAGTATTTTTTGTTTAAAAGAAATCAATGAACAGTTTGCCAACAGAAATAAACACTTCTGTCCCAGTAGCATGAAAGTACCATAGTGCCAAACTCTGAATCATTATAGCAACCATGAACATATACCAAAAGTGATACATAAAGCAGAGAATAAATACATCTTTACAGGGATGGAAAAATACATTCTAATTAAAATAGAGGTTGGTTGCTCTGTAGAAATGCAACACTCATTTATTTTTATCAGTCTAACAACACAAAAAATACTTCAAGTGCCCATGAAACATTTTGAGACATTCGAGCAATATTAAATAATTCTACTCCAAAACCTTAGAATATTAAATAAATACTTCATAAAAGGTAAATTGGCTCATTGTTCAGCAATTACTCTGTCATGCTCTTTTTCACTGCTCGACAACATTTATTGAATAATTTAAAAGATAATCACATCTCCTACAAAGCTTCACTTTTGAGAGGAAACATCTTATGCAAAGGAAAAATTCAATCATTCTAGAAAGTGGAAGCAACCATAATTTTGTCATGTAGAACAGACTCTACAATGTAGGATTTCAGATTTTTCCCCTTTTCCTAAATCTCAGGACATACTTCAGTCTTGACAGCCTTTCATAAAGGAAGCTCATACTAGACTCTTAAACATTGGACATGTTATGATCTGTTGAAAGCAAATTTCTTCATTTATAGGAATTTGAAACAATGGAATAATTAGAGAACATTTTGCAGTCAAAACTGATTTTTTTTGGATCAAATCATTGGCAGAATGCACAAGCAACTAATATAGCTATTTCAGTCAAAAAGGTGAAATACGACTTCAAAAAGGGCTACAAATCAGTTGTAAAATCTTTCATATGCCATATATTCCATAATATTTTCCTTTCCATTGATTAAGGAAAGGTTGAGCAAGTGTATAAGTTTACTCCACAAATATAAATCATGAAACTGGAGGATACATTTTTGCATTCTAAAATATTTTGCTTAGTTTGGAAAAGCAAGTGGTCAGGGGTTAAGTGTGTAATTTGTAATGATTATAGAGAAAAATTATGCCATTAAAATAATTCTGCAATAACAGTGCATCAATGCATCCAATATTCTAAACCTG